AAAAGAAAAAAGCCGGAAGTGGCGCTGTGGCTCAAGTGGTAGAGTGCTAGCCTTGAGCTGAAGAGCTGAGGGACAGCACCCAGGCCCAGAGTTCAGGCCCACGACCGGACCCCCCCAAAACAACAACAACAAAAAACCATTAGACAACATGTGGATGGGGGGGTGCAGGGGGCAGGGTTGTTAAAGTGCTGCTGCTTGAGCTGCTTTTTTCTGACCTGGCTTATTTCCCACTGGTCTCTCCCACAGGAACAGTGTCGGGGCCTGGGGAAGGGGTGCTCTGTGGCTGTGGGGCAGGGGTGGACCTCCTCTTCTTCCATAGGGCTCAGATGCTACCTGACCTGGATATACACCTCCCTTATTCCTTCTCTTTCCTCTTTCCTCCTGCCCACTCTCCTTTTGTACCTTCCCTCCTAACACCACTGCCCCCCCCCCACCTTTCTTGCAGGCTTCTCACTGCAGCACTAACGGAAGGCGAACTACCACCCAGTGGGAGATTTGGGTGGGGAGAGATGGGGAAATCTTTGGGTTCTAGAGATCATAGAAGCCTTCAAGCAGGGGAGGGGTGCAAGATGTTGTCTTATTGTCTGTCCTAAGCAGAGGCCTGTCTGCACAGAAGTTGGTTAACCAGGGTTGTTATTCAGAGGATTGGGCAGACCTTTGGGAGGAAGTAACTGGATTAAAAGAGCAGGAGAAAGGAGCAGAGGCTGGAGGTCAGACCTGGGGGGACTGGAGATTGCTTTCTGGCTCTCATACTCCGCTTTCCTTTTTTTCTTGCCCGGTCCTGCTCCTTCCCAGGATCCTCACCCTCCCTGGTGGGGGCCACAACGGATGAGCCTCCTCCCTCAGGCCCTTCCACGACGCAGGGGGCTGAGGCCCCAATTGTGTTGCAGAGCCTTCAGGAGCTGGGAGAGTTGAGGGTGCTAGGCAAAGATGAGACAGGGCAACTCCGTGTGGCCTGGACTGCCCAGCCCGACATCTTTGCCCACTTCCAACTGAACCTGCAGGTGCCCGAGGGGCCAGGGGCACATGAAGAACTGCTGCCAGGAGATGTCCGCCAGGCTTTGGTGCCCCCACCCCCTCCTGGGGCCCCTTACACGCTGTTACTTCATGGGATTCTCCCAGGGGGCAAGCCCTCTGTTCCAATCACCTACCAAGGCATCATGGGTACATCCGGGACTCTTAACTAATGTCCTGAGAGTTGGGTGGGGGAAGGGCTGGGGCTCTCAGGACTTCAGAGGTGAGATGGAGTTTAAGGAGTCGGTGAAGGGCAGGCTGAGTGATAGGGGGGAAAAGGAGAGGGCAAAAGATTTGTGAGTTCAGAGGGAAGGTAGATGTAGTCTTAGAACAGTGAGGATGGTTGGTGGTAGTCAGGAGGAGGAAGTCAGAGGGTAGAAAAATTCCAAGAGAACAACTACACGCCCTGGTCTTCCCCCTCTGTTTTTTGTTTTGTTTTGTTTGTTTTGTTTTTTGTTTTCTGTTTTTGGGTGTGTGGTGTTTTTTTTTTTTTTTCTCCCCTGAGTCTACCCCACACTTCCAGGCTGCTCCTCTGCCCTTCCCTGCCCTATAGATCTCCTGAAGTGGGCTTGGGAAGGGCTTTGGCTCTGAGAAGACTGGCTCTCAATCCCTCATGCCTCCCTCCTCCCTGGGAGTCTAGCTTAAAAGAGAAGATAGCCTGTGACCCCATCAGGCTCCTTCTGGTGGTGGTTGTGGGGTGCTCCACTGCCATCAAGACTTCAGAGATGGGTGACATTTGCAGGACCAATGGAAAGACAGGGGTGGGGCGCCTTGCTCTCACACCCCCTTGGTCCTGCATAAAGGGACGGATGTCTGGGGCTTACCCCAATTCCAGGGCAAGCCCACTGCCAATGAAGGGTGGGAAGGGAAAGAGCAGCTCGGGCACACAGAGGAGTCCTCAGACTGCTCTGAAGCCACAGTGAGGAAACTAGAAACTCTCAGGCAGTACCATGGGGAGCCTGAAACTCGGCCAAAAGTCCTAATGTGCAGAGGAACTAAGACTTTAGGGAACAGACACTGACTGGGGAATGCTCCCTTGCCAGGAGGGCTGGTCACCGAGGGCTGACGGATAGGGCTCTGGAGATGTTCAGAATGGAGTCAGGCAAAGGAGAGGGAAGGAGATGGGCAAAGGAATCGTTGAGCCCACCATGCTTTGCTTTTGCCCCCCTCCCCCCAAATCTCAGACAGAGCTGAGGAGAAGCCTAGGAAGTCCCCGGGCCCACCTCGCCTAGGTGAGCTGACGGCGTTGGACATGGCCTCTGACTCCCTGCGCCTGCACTGGACGGTCCCCGAGGGAGAGTTTGACTCCTTTCTGATCCAGTACAAGGATAAGCATGGACCCCAGGTGATACCTGTGGAGGGGCCCCAGCGCTCGGCCCCCATCACATCCCTGGAACCAGGCCGCAAGTACAAGTTTGTGCTGTATGGGCTTGTCGGCAAGAAGAGGCATGGCCCCTTGGTGACTGAAGCCAAGATCTGTGAGTGAGAGCAGGCACACCTCTCCCCACCCTCTGTGGATCCTAGAAAGAGGCCGGCCCAGGGCTTTGGGGTTGTGAAGGGAAAGCAATGAAGAGCAGACAGGGGGTGAGGAGGCAGTGCAGGTAGAAGGGGTGCCTTGGGAGAGGTTGCCAATGTTCCTCCTAGCTGGAGAACAGGGTATATGGGGAGATAAGGGGTTGTGGGGTCTTTTTTGAGGGAAGAGCTGGGTCTATTGGTCTGAGGGGCTTGGGCCTCAGTTGAAAGCCTTCAGCGGCCTCTGGGAGCTTATAAAGTAGGAGAGTGGCGTGGTTAGATATTTGACACTGGTAAGACATCATAGTGGTGTGGCTAAGGTGGTGGCTGAAGTTGTATGTGGGGTGAAGGAGAACGAGGAGACCCAGGTATGCCCCTGGTTCCTGAATTAGTCCTATCCCAAAGGCAGTAGCAGTAGTGGACAGAAGTGTGGTATGGGACACTTAGATATGACTAATCTGAGCATGGTCATTGATTCAGATGAGTGTAAGATGCTTAAAGAGAGTAAGATCACACCCAGTATTTGCAGTAGCCCTGTGAAGAATGCCAGTTTCATGAGGAGAATTAAGTCACTGACAGGAAGGAGTTACCCATCAGAAGGTGGCAGAAGCCAGGCACTCTGGCTCACACCTGTAATCCTAGCTATGGGAGAGAAAGAACTTGGGAAGATCATGGTCAAGGCCAGCCCAGGGTAGGGTGTGTGTGTGTGTGTGTGTGTGTGTGTGTGTGTGTGTGTGTTCCATAAGACCCTCTCAATAAGAGCTGGGCATGGTGGTGTGTGCCCATTATCCTATGGGAAGCACAACTAAGAAGATTGTGGTCCAGGCTGGCCCAGGCAAAAAGCTCGACTTTATTATTTTTTTAAAGCCAAAAGGGCTAGAGACATGGTTCAAGTGGGAGAGTGCCTGCCTAGGAAGCATAAGACTCTGAGTTCAAAGTCTTAATACTACCAAAAGGAAAGAAGAGCTGAGAATGTGGCTTAGTGGTAGAATGCTTGCCTAGCTGGAAGTGGGGCTGTGGCTCAGGTGGTAGAGTGTTAGCCTTGAGCTGAAGAGCTGAGAGACAGAGTTCAGGCCCAGAATTCAGGCCCCACTACTGACCAAAAAAAAAAAGGAATATAAAGGAAAAAAGGGGGTCACAGTGCCACCTTGGTGAGTGTGGAATGCAGAGTAAAAGCTTGAAGAGGGGCATGGAGGCCATCAGTGCCAGTGGCCAGGATGAGGGCATGAAGGGAGAAGAGACAGAGCTCTAGACAGCTGGCAATAGCCAACAGGAGTAGAAGAGGAAGGAGCCCACGGGGTAGCCTGAGGTGACTCTCCGGAGAGGGAGCAACCAGGTGCAGGCTGGTGTCTCGGGTGTCAGGGAGGAGGACACAGCTAGTCATGTCAGAGTCTGAAAGTGGGACTCAACGGCCAGCAAGTGTCCACAGGACTTAGCAATGGTCAAGTCACATTCTGGAATCTTGGCTGGGCACAGAGCAAGGAGGGGAGGTAAAGGGAGATGTGCACAGAATGGGGGTGCAGCTGGGGACAGGCGCATGGCCGGGGGAGGGATGGACACAGAGTAAGGAGCAGCAGGAGGGGCGTCCTGAGGAAGAGAACCCGGAACACACAGTAGGAGGACTCTTGGAGGAGAAAAGACATAGAAGTCAGAGTTGGAATCAGTAGAGGTTGCACTAGGGAGAATTCCCTGGCTGGAGAGATGTGGAGAGATGTCTGACTGGGATCCCTGCTTTCGGAGCCCCCTCCTCCTTGGTTGTAGATAGCATAATGCCACATACAGTGCTTCTGTGTCATTTGAAGGCAGCCCTTTCTGTAGGCCAGCCAAGCTCCTGGGCTGAGCTTCGGTTTCAGTCACTTTGTCCCCGTTTAGCCATGCGCAGCCTGTGTAACCTCACACAGCATCCCTATGTGAGACGGGTTCCTCCTTCTCCTGTGACCTTCCTTCTTTTCACTTCCTCTCCACAGTGCCTCACAGTGAGCCCAGCCCAGGAACCCCACCCCGCCTGGGAAATCTGTGGGTGACAGATCCCACCCCAGACTCTCTGCGCCTCTCCTGGACTGTCCCTGAAGGCCAGTTCGACTCCTTCATGGTTCAGTACAGGGACAAGGATGGACAACCCCAGGTGATACCTGTGGAAGGGCCCGAGCGCTCAGTTGTTGTCTCCCCCTTGGACCCTGACCACAAGTACAGATTCACCTTGTTTGGGATTGCCAACAAGAAGCGATATGGCCCCCTCACAGCCGATGGCACTACTGGTAAGTAGCTGCCACCTAAGCCCCCATGTCACCCACGACCCGCCCTCTATACGCTTGCCCTCAGCCAGGAACTAGTGGGGCCTCCCAGCAGGAGGGCTGACTGCAGCATCCTGGCCCTGCTCCTGGGCTGAGGGGCAGCCAGCCTTTCCCCCACTGCTGGGCCTCTTTCATCGCACTCAGCCATTCCCTAAGGCCCACAAGGTGTGTCATACTCTGACTTGCCAGGAGTTCAGGGCTCACACTAATAGAGTAGTGGACACCCCTCCCCACCCAGGTCCTGATCCTAAACCCCCATCCAGGTTGCCAGTTCAGCACCTGGCTGAACCTCTTTGTTTACAGCCCCAGAGATGGTAAAGGAGCCCCCTCGTTCTGAGATCCTTGAGCAGCCCCCTCGCTCTGAGATCCTTGAGCAGCCCCTCCTGGGAGAACTGATGGTGACTGATGTGACCCCCGACTCCCTGCACCTGTCCTGGACTGTGGCCCAGGGCCCCTTTGACTCCTTCACAGTCCAGTACAAGGATGCGCAGGGGCAGCCCCAGGCTGTGCCTGTCAGGGGGGATGAGAATGAAGTCACTGTCCCTGGCCTGGAATCCAACCGGAAGTATAAGATGAACCTCTACGGGCTTCGTGGCAGGCAGCGTGTGGGGCCTGTGTCTGTGGTGGCCAAGACGGGTGAGTCAGAGCCCACAGGCCTCCCTCCCTTGCTGGCCCCAATCCTCGATGCAAGATCTGGGCTGGGCTCCATCTTTTCTTTCTCAGCTCTACTTCTGCCAAAGCCTCTGTCCTCTTTCTCCCTCACTGCTCTCCTGTGCGCTACACCTCAGCCTCCAGCTCTTAATATCCTTGGTCCTCCTGCCTGTCCATTTCCAAAAGCAGGTTCCATTTTCCCCCTGTTCCAAGCACTGAGACTCATCCTTTGGCCTCAGCTGTCCTCCACACCGTGTCCTCCCTTTCAGCCAGAGTTCTCACCCACACTTCAGACTGGCTTTCTTCCTAGCCTGGTTCAGACGCTGGGCACACCTGGGCTTCGGGCACCAACTCTCTGCACCCTCACTGTGTTGCTGTCCTCTCTCCCTGATCTCCAACTCTTCTGTGACCTCTTCTTGCTCCTCACCTCCCTATCTTCCCATCCTTGTCTGAGTTCTCATTACTGCACGCTCCTGCCTAATCTCCTGTCCCTGATGTAGGTCCCAGGCCAAAGAGGGGGATCACAGAAGGGCTGGCTTTCTTTGTGCCACAGTCTCCCCACCCCTGGGAGTCCTGCAGAGACCTAACTTCAGGGGACAGTTAGGGGGCCCATGAAGGTGTGATTCCAGAGTCAGCCTCAGAGTGGGCCCTCCCCAGTCCCCGTTCACCTGAACCTTTCTCCACTTTTGGCTGGAGCTCTGCCTCAGTAACTCATCCCTTAAGGTTCCCAGGGGAGGAAGGAGCAGGCTGACCCTGAGGGGCCTCAGCAGGAGCGCATACCATGGTTTTCTCCCAGGGATAGGCTGAGGCCACCAGAGCCCCCTAGAAGGGGGCTTAAGGTGAGAAGAGGCCTCTCCCCTCCTGGCTTTGCTGAGATCAGTGCTGTCAGAGACACGATGTAGAAGAATTCTCAAAGATGTTCTATCTTCCCATCTTGCCTTCATCAGCTATGAGGAGAAATCTCACAATACAACATGCACCCCTGCCAGGAGATAGGACAGGCGGGGATGGCTCAGCCCTCTCCATCTTCTAGTGACTACATAGTCAATATCGGAGGCCATGTAAACCCCTGAGGCTTCCAGTTCAGGAGGCTATCCAGGATGTTGTACCCACTGACAACACTGGAAAAACAAATCACTCTTAATATCTGCATCTCTTATCTCAGCCCCAGAGGAGATCTCCAGTCCTACAGAAGTAGACGAGAGTCCAAGCCCTACAGAACCCAGCACAGAGGCCTCAGAGCCCCCCAGAGAGCCACGCCTGGGGGAGCTGACCGTGACAGATGCCACCCCCGACTCCCTGAGCCTCTCCTGGACAGTCCCCGAGGGACAGTTTGACCACTTCCTGGTGCAGTACAGGAACGGGGACGGGCAGCCCAAGGTGGTGAGGGTGCCAGGCCATGAGGACCAGGTCACCATCTCAGGCCTGGAGCCAGACCACAAGTACAAGATGAACCTGTATGGCTTCCACAGCGGCCAGCGCGTGGGCCCCGTGTCTGCCATTGGGGTGACGGGTAAGTGGGTGTTGGAAACTCCAGGGTGGGGTCAACCAGGAGGTAGGATCCTTTTACTCTTTGGTTGGTCACTAAGCAGGCAATGTGTCTGGGCATTGGTTTGCACCCACAGACCTGCTGTGTGTGGGGGGGGGGGCTCTGGCCCCTATGCTTCCCCTTGGGTTGACTTCTGTCCTCCTGGGCCGGGAAGGACCATTAGTATCTGTGCTGTGCTAGTGACCATAATAGTTCCTCCAAGTTCACGTAGGAGCTTGGGCATGTTTATCAGAGGTCAGCTGATCAGAACCATCAGGTCCCAAGGGTGGACTTCTCTGAGCTGACCTGGGGATTTCACTAGCCATGACTTCTCTGTCCTTCTCCCTAAGATTCAAGGCCTCCGCTTCACCTTCTCTATCTCCTTCTCTCAGCTACAGAGGAAGAGACACCCAGCCCCACAGAGCCCAGCACAGAGGCACCAGAGCCCCCGGTAGAGCCGCTCCTGGGGGAGCTGACCGTGACAGGATCCTCTCCAGACTCCCTGAGCCTCTCCTGGACCGTCCCCCAGGGCCACTTTGACTCCTTCACTGTCCAGTACAAGGACAGTGATGGGCGGCCCCAGGTGGTGCGTGTTGGAGGCCAGGAGAGGGAGGCCACTGTGGAGAACCTGGAGCCTGGGCGCAAGTACAAGATGCACCTGTATGGAATCTACCAGGGGCGGCGCGTGGGCCCCGTGTCCACCGTGGCAACAACTGGTGAGCGTGGTCTGGATCTCGCTGCCGAGTCTTACCATCCCTATTACCAAGATTCCCACCTTTTCCCTGTGCAGCCATAAGTTCCTAACTGCTACCAAGAAAGAGCAGATTAATGGGGACTAGGGACTGCAACCAATCTTTTTGCCCCTGTGCACGTTTTTTTTGTTTTGTTTTTTTGTCTTGTCAATCATGGGGCTTGAACTCTGGGCCTGGGCGCTGTCCCTCAGCTCTTCAGCTCAAGGTGAGCACTCTACCACTTGAGCTACAGCGCCACTTCCAGTTTTCTGGTAGTAAATTGGCCCTAGGAGTCTCATAGACTTTCCTGCCCAGGCTGGCTTTGAACCACAATCCTCAGATCTCAGCCTCTTGAGTAGCTAGGATTACAGGTGTGAGCCACTGGTGCCCAACCTCTGTGCCAGTTTTAAGTAATTATCTCACAGCACTACTGTGAGGATGAAATGAGTTAACAGATGTAGAAAGGATTAAGAGTGAGCCTGGCACTAAGTAAGCATGCAGTCAGTGCTTGCTGCTGTGATTGCTGTAATTATCCTTACTCTACAGTCTGCTTTGTCCAGTTTTGTTGGTTCAGCTGCTTAGTTGGCCAGAATGTTCACTAGACATTGGCCTACTTATCAGTGCTTTCTTTGATGCTCATCCATAGTGACTATCCCACAAAGAACAGCCCTTCATCCCCTCCCTGAGGCCAGTTATGGTAACACCTCTGCCACCAAGTAGTCCCATCCAGTCAGCTCTCCAGAGCCCCTGCGGGGGAAGCTGAGTGGGAGAGAGTGCCTCTGGAGTCCTTCCTGTTGACCCATCCAGATGGTCACGATGAGGGAATCTCTCTTTGTATTCTGATCACTGAAACAAAGGCACACCTTTTTCAGAAACCACTGCATGTGTGTGTGTGTGTGTGTGTGAGCGCGCGCGCCTGTACACAGACTTGAGCTCAAAGCTCTGTACTCTTGCTTGGCTTTCTTGTTTATTACGGTTGATGATCTGCTCCTTGAGCCATGCCTCTGGTTCAGAATTCTGCTAGTTAATTGGAGATAAGAGTCTCACAGACATTTCTGCCTGGGCTAGCTTCAAGCATCAATCCTCAGATCTCAGCTTCCTAAATTGTCAGGATTACAGATGTGAGATACTAGTTTTTTTTGTTTTGTTTTGTTTTGTTTTGGGTGGGGGGCCCGGTCATGGGGCCTGAACTCTGGGCCTGGGTGCTGTCCCTTAGCTCTTCAGCTCAAGGCTAGCACTCTACCACTTGAGCCACAGTGCCACTTCCGGCTTTATTCTTTTTGCTTATGTGGTGCTGAGGAATCGAACCCAGGGCCTCATGCATGCAAGGCAAGTGCTCTACCACTGTGCTCTACCACTGAGCCACCTTCTCAGCCCCAGATGTGAGATACTAGTGTCCAACAAAAGCAACTTTTTCTAAAGGGAAAAGATGGAAAACTTAAAAGTAGAAACAGATCTCTAAAACATAGTTTCTGTATAGTCCACAAAGCTCAACTTTACGGTGATTTGATTGGCTTCGTTTCTAGAACCTTCGATTCCTGATTTCTTTTTTCTCTTTTTCTTTTTTTGCTTCAGTTAGCACTGAGAAGAGGGAGAAGGGAAAACTATCCTTAATGGCCTCCTCTCAGGGTCAGAGGTAGTAATTTGGAGGCTCACACCAGGCCTGGAGTTCTCTGACAATATCTATTCTTCCATTCCAGGCAGAGAGACAATTAGTCTTTGTCTGGTCATGTCCCTGGTCCCTGGGAAAGGCTAGGCTCTGTTGGGTGCTTACTGAAGTACCACAATGCAGAGAAACTGAGTCTTAAGAGTCTGATAGGCTGGAAATGTGGTTAGTGGTAGAGTACTTGCCTAGCATTTATGAAGCTCTGGGTTCTATTCCTCAGTACCAAATAAACAGAAAAGGCTGGAAGTGGCACTGTGGCTCAAGTAGTAGAGTGCTAGCCTTGAGCAAAAGAAGCTTAGGGACAGTGACCAGGCCCCAGGACTGGCAGAAAAAGTATCTGACAAACTGAATTCCATTCTCAGTTCTTTCATTTCTTAGCTGTGATCTTAAAGAACTTAACCTCCTCTCCTGGAATCTCAGCTTCTCATCTTTAAGATGGAGCCAGTGCCACCACCTAGTGTCATAGGGCGAAAGGTGGTGATACTAGTGGATTTTCAGCTCATTCAACTTTTGTTCATTCCCTCGTATGGAGAGATCACTGTCTCTCTCTGTCTGATGCTAGATATCATGCTACATGTATTGTACATGCCATGGGTAAAATGGACATGGTCTTTTAGGGAAGGAATAAGTCTTGATGTTCCTTATCAGGGCAGTGAGGTGCTGGAGCCAGTTGAGTGGGTGAGGACTTGGCCTGCTGTTCTTGCTGTTCCATTGACAGAAGGAATGTGCAGCCAGTTAGCAACAGAGACGGGACTATTCCCAATGCAGCATAGGACTGTCATATTCATCAACAGAGCCTCAGCTTTACCAGTTAAGCCAAATCACCAGCAATCAGTCAGGCTTGGTAGTGAGGGTCAATTTCTCTTCCTGGAAAAACACAGAGGCCTAAAACAAGCAGAAAATAAGATACAAGCAAATATGGCTAGAAGGAAAGTGAATGAAAGAAAATGCCAGGCCTGGTAACCACTAGTAGATGGTCGGCACAGGTGGTCACTCTGGCCCCTGCCCCTTCCTCCCAGACTCATTTCGGTCTGTCTAAAGCCTAGTCTAGCCCATTTTAAGCAGGTTTTTTTGCCTGTGCAGTCTAGTCTTACCCTCCCATGGAAGTCAAAGAAACAAGATTTGGGGAGCATCCTACTCACCCAGCCACTCTGTCTTGGAACCACCTTCCATTTTGAAGGGAGACCCCCTCCCAGACTCAGCCTTCTCAGGGAAGAGGGTAGACAGTAGGGACCAGCAAGTCCTTGCTCAGCCTTCCCAGTCCAGACTTG